CTATACACACATTACATTACCTTGTCACGTTGTCCCCTCTTATATATACCCGCCTACCCCATCTAGCAAACACTAGAGCATTCGCCAAGATACGGGATAGTTCTAGAAACAAGAGGGCGTGAGAATTGTCACGTGATCTCGATGACGCAACAATACTCTCTGACTGCAGATCAATTACTCACTGTCTACACACACACTGTTGTCACGTTGTGAGCGTCCTATTTATATACCAGAAAAACATATATCTTGTAAATTCCAGAAAATAGGCGGCGTGACAATAGTCACGTGACCCCCTGACGCAACAACTGGTTTAATCTTTCTGAATATAACTTCAAGATACCCTTATTTTCAACAGTGGCTCTTTTACAAACGTTTTAACAACGAACGTTAACTTCAACAATACGTCTCTCTCTGACTGCAGTTCAATTACTCATTACCTACACAGACATTATTGTCCCGTCACGTTGTCACCCTCTTGTATATACCAGACTACCCTATATCTAGTAATCTCCCGACAATTCCCGAAGGTTCGAGAGAACGAGTCACGTGACCTCGCTGACGCAACAATACGATATTTCTGTTCGTACTTAGTTCTACCTGATGTTTGATCGATCACGATTAGATCATCAGAGGTTCGTCTTGAGAGATGGAAAGATGACGTTCTTCTCAACGAATCTTGTAGAAACGACTTTCCCCTTGTTTGCACAACTACGTATGCTACACTTTTTTTGTTCAGTTATATTAAAGACTGTTTATTTTATTAAGCATGCCCAGTTTCTTTTTTTTTTATTTTACAATGGAAATTTTAAGCAATTTTTGAAATGCAGATCAAATTTCCTTGTCGACCCTGCTATTATTATCAGCTCTATATAATATTTGTGCCGAAATCAGTTTCACCTGAAAATACCACATGTATGCAGTAGTTTTAGCTTACGTGTTTTTTTCTTGGTTTTTTTTTTAGCGCAAGGCAACACAATGAGCTACCTTCGATGTGCACATCGCGGTGAATCGAACCCCGGACTTCTGCATTTTAAGATCAGAAACTTACAGTTACCCCACTATGGAGAGATAGGGTTACTGAATTTATATATAAATATTTAATCTACGTAAAAAAGGTGTTTTTTAATGATAAATATAGACTTTCTGTTTTTTTCTCTTCTTGTTTTATTCATGAAAAATAACCGTTTTTGTCGTAATGTAAAGACACATTTTGTTAGTTCTCCGCTGGACTTACAACGCTAAAATAAGGGGTTCGATTCTTTTCTGTAGACACAGTAAAAATGACATGGCTAGTGGTTAGAACGCTTGACTCGCAATCTGAGGGTCGTGGGTTCGAATTCCCGTCCACCAAACATGCTTGCCCTTTCACCCGTAGGAGCATTATAATAATTGACGGTCAATCCCACTATTCGTTGGTAAAAAGAGTAGGTCAAGATTTGGCTGTGGGTGATGATGTCTAGCTGCCTTCGCTCCAGTCTTTCACTGCCAAATTAGGGACGGCTAGCGCAGATATCCCTTGTGTAGCTTTGCGCGAAATTCAAAAACAAACAAACATTTTGTTTGCTCAGAAAATGTAAAAGGTTGGCGTTGATATAACATTAATTAGCCTTGCTTCGGTCGCATAAGTAGATCGATTCGTGACCTAATATTCGGAATAATACTTGTGAGCATCTTATTATATGCCACAAATCGAGCAAATGAAAACAAATTGTTGAAGCAGATCTTGATATATAAAGCCAGAAGTTTTATTACAGATTTGTAAGGTGTTTACAGACGGTAAATCTTAAGAATATCAGACAATGGCATCACTGTCATCTAACTGGGTAAGAAATGATTCGTCTCCACGCGTAGTTGATTTCAAAGCAGTCCGATGTATCTTTGAATCAGGTAAGCCTAACTTGGTACTTCTAACCTGAAATTGTTAGCTTAGAAATAGCGTTAAATATCACTCCCATATCCAGCATCTCTCACACTTTAATTTTATTTATATATTGATCATTTACTTTGAAAGTTTGATACCGGACATGAATTTGATGAAATGGTGACAGCCAAAGAATGGAAAGTGGAACACTATAGTTTATATAACATTTGAAGTTGAATTTGTGTGTTAACTAGGACTTTTGCATTCTCCAAAAGTAAGACTAACTGGCATATAATTTCCAGGATGAGTTAGAACTCCTATTAAAAATAGGAGTAACATAAATAACTTATTGATCCTCGGGCATCTGCCCACTTTTTATTGACTTATCATAAATAAAAGAGAGGCATACATGTATTATCCTATTAGCCCTCCTTTGAACCCTTTCCAACAATTCAGTGTCCTTCTTAAGGTAAGTAGCCCAAAACTAAACATAGTATCTTACTAGTTGATTCAAGTCATTCTGTAATACCTCAAAATCTTCAGTCCAACTTGGAATATCGTGTGGTTGTGGATGGTTTTCTTCTACTTCAGGTTATTGTCTTGTACAAATCTAGAACAAATCTTCATATAGAAAAATTCAAAAAGAATTAGTATAAATAACTCGTACACTACAGAATACAGTGTACAAAGGCTTACAACTATACATTATTGTGTAGCCTTGCGGTAAAAAAAACAAGAAAAAACACGTAAGCTAAAACTACTGCATACGTGTGGTATGCTTTATTTGTTTATTATCTTTCCAGTCTTTTTTTTTTACTTACCACCAACTAGTTAATATGTACATGAGTCAATTCAATTATAATATTTCCCATAGATTGTTCAGGGCCAGGAATATTACTAATGTCTCCTCTTTTAATAACAGAGGAGAAAATTTAAAAGCTCAATCATCTCATGGTCTTCAACAATAAACTTGTCATCCCCAATCTAACATTTTGCTTACATTTAACATACTTAAAAAATCCTTGCTGTTGGTTTTAATATTATCAGCCAACTGTTTGTCATATGCTGTTTTGGATTTCTGTTTTAATGAAATTCTTAACCTTCCTGTAGTTCTGTAAATCTTTCATTCAAAATATTATGTCAGTTTAAACTTTTTAATATTGCTGCATTTATCCCTAATTTTCTACTTAATGTACAAAAAGAGTTTCATTATCTGACATCTGCTGGACCTGAATAGTATTGAATGGGTGAAAATTTTGGTTATGAAAATGTTTCCTGTCCCACATCTTTTGTTTTTACCAATCCCACAGGTATTTCCCTCTCGTACACTTTAATTGTGGATGTGTTTCTTTCGGATTTGTCATCCGTCACGGGTGGCTGCACTACTGGATGGGGATATTAAGGTGGCCCTGCACTGCCTCACTTTGTCCACATTTGAACCACTCACCCCAGTGTCCTTGTTTCTCCTTCCTTCTGCTATTCATTTATTTACCATCAATGTTTCATGTACTCTTTATCCTTCTACATATCATCTCTTCTCTCTGCATTGTTTTTCCTCCTTAACAGTTTGGCAGCATGTGAAGATAACCACTCTGTTTAGCCGCTTTCTTGTCCTTCCATTTCACATCTTTATCCTCATCTTGATCCGAATAGACCTATATGTACTGTACGTGCTCTTCTATGTTATATTGCCTGTATGGCTTCCTTCTTGGTGTATGTTCCTGTCTCTTTCTTCCTTAGCAACCATTTTCTGATTGTTTTTTTTCTCCTTCCTCAGTTTGGTTCGGCTGTTCATTTGACTGGCTTCTTTCTCTTTATCATTTTCTTCGTGTACTTTTTTTCTGAGTGATTTCTCACCCAATTTGACACCTTACCTTTTCATTGGCATTCCATATTCATCATCCTTTGGAGATACTTCTTCAATCGAGAACGTGGAAAACCCACGATACATTTGTCTCTCACTGTTTGCATCGGATCATGGTTTTCTTCTACTTCGGGTTATTGTCTTCTGCCTGCAGCCATTCTAGAATATAAGAATTCAGTGAGACTGACTGTTTTTTTTTCCAGGGCTCTTTTCCATTTTATTTATGCTCATTGTTTGGATCCTGCTCTGTTGTGAGTTGTGCCTGACCAGGTATTCTTTAACTGTTCAAATCTGCACTGCCAAGCTATGTCGACTTGCATATTATAATTCCATGGCCACGTAACGCACACTGCAGAGATGGGGTGTTCCCCAAGATTGCTTGTAGGTTTATTATCGCAATTGAATTGCTTCATAAGTTTGCCCCTTCTCAGATTGTACCCACCCATAGACTACATGGGTAAAGCAGAAGGGGATAGCTACCCATCCTTGCGATGCCTTGTATTGAATAAATCAGTATTGTCTGCTTTTGAAAATAGGGTTTCGTGGTCATCCATTGCACTGTCTTGGGTGTTGTTCCTCTTCTGGTCTTTTTTTGGGCCTTTGTGCCCTTGAAAATGAGAGAAAATCCAAAACCAAATGGCCTTTCCCTTAAAGTGATGAATTTCCTGGCCTAAAAGTACTGGACATATATTTTATAAACTCTTTGATATGTGTAAGTCTAGATGACATTTAAAGTATGCAAATTATTGATGTAGTTATATATGTTATGATCAAACTGTAACTTTTAATCCTGAGGATGGTGGTGTAGATCTGTAACATGTAATATCTTTTTTAGGGCTGAATCCTGTTTTTAATAAATTATTTATTGTACAATTATTTAATGGCACTTCTGCATGTGTGCACAAATGTCATATTATTTAATCAAAAATCTGTCTAACAATCTTAAAAAGTTTAATGTTTTGCAAAGTATAACGAAAAACAAATGCTTAACAGTGGAGAGTCTAGCTTTTGATACCAAAATGAAATAACAGAAACGAAAACAGATTTACTGCTGCACACACATTGCTTACATGACATTGATCCACCATGCTTGAACATGGGTGTTCCCGGGAGGCCCCGGCATTATAAAATTTATAGACAGAAAATACAGCTGTCTATAACAAAATATCACAAGCAAGTTACAGCTATCTTTCCTGCAAGGAAACTCGATTATTGAGTGAAACTGGTTCTGTGTGCTGCTAAAGTAAGGAGAGGTTATGTTGCTTATTTGAGCAACTCTCTCTACATCCAAACTGAACTGATAAAAAAACAACAACAAACAGAAATTTAAAAAAATACATGTCAATTAAGAGTGTAGCAAACATATGTTATCTTCCTGTACCACACAGATAATCAATACACAAGAAACTTTGCTTTTCTCACTGTCAGGTTTCACGGTCAAGTTTTGTTAAATATGAAACATTTAAAAGTGAATGTCCTTGCTAGGATATATAAAAAGAGTGATGTGATGATAATCAGCCAATCTTTTCAAAATCCTTACAGCTTAGTGCCATTTTAAATTAGATAGAAGATGGATTTAACTAATTATCTTCTTTAGTGATACAGTTTAAGCCTTTTTTATTAAATGCCAAAAGATGCTTTGTTTTCTAGATCAATATTAATATGAATCCCAGCCAATAGGATAGATGTGCCAGATTATGATTTAGATGCTTATTATGAAATGAAAAGAGAAATTGCCAGTCATAATAATTAAAAAAGGGATAGAATCATTGTGATTGTATTTGCCATGTGCTATTTTTCCAGGATATCAGCTGATCAATTTCTTCTAAGGCTTAATAAATTGAAAAAGAAATTCTGACAATGGTGCAAAACAGACAGAATCAAGGATTATGAGTTGTCATCACTAGGCCACTGTCATGAAAATAGAATGTTATATGCCTATATATAAATTAGCTATTCCTTCACAGTTGTGTTTAATGAATATGCCTAGTAACATATTATAAGTGAATTGAATAGTGCGAATTGACACTAACAACTGTGTCACAATTGCTCAAGAGTGTAGCTGTAGGCATTTTTTTTTTTGCATTTCAACAGTAGATTATATGAAAAGTATACAGGCTCATTATGTATCGTAATAATAGATTCAACATTTAGCAGTAAATGAATTCAAATCTCAACCTGATGTAGAATGATGTTTTCAGGGCAGTATTGTTTTGTTTTTTTCAAAGTATATATAAAATCATTATAATCATGTTCGGCATGTGTTGAGCTGTACTCTAATCAACACACAACAAATTGGTCAGTTATGTAATAAATCCTACCAGAAGAGCTGCAATTACAAGCTGTATAGAAGACCTGTAAGTGTAGTAAGCTAATCTCTTTATTCCCACACCAGGGTCAAATGACCCATACCATAGTTTTAGCATATAGTTTGACCCTAAGATTTTCCTGGCTAACTTCTGCCCAACCCCTAATCACTTGTGCAAACCTATTTAAATGTGAAATTGGTCAGTCAGTCAGTCCATATATGGCAAAATGTGCAAAGGAGAATAGTTGCCATTATCTGGATGCTTATAGATTTTTTGCATGCAAAATTAACTTGTCCATCAGTTTAGTCTCTTATCACATCAAGATGAGTGCATCCAGCCGCAATGGAAAAACTGGATCATTGAATTAAAAAATGTATAGAAAATAAACTTGTAGTCATTCTTCCAGACATTTATTTCACTTTATACATAAGTTTAAAAAAAAATCGAATCTTAATCATAGGTTAATTTTGACAAGATCCAAATTAAATCATTAGTGATCTTCCTGAATTTGTTCTGAGCATAATTCAGCATTTTAGTACTCTCTCAGAAAGGTCATGATAATTTGGACAAAAGTGTAATTTTACTGATTTTTACTAATCACTCTTTCTCAACCTCAATGTGATGTAATTATCTTGGCTTTGACAAGCTACAGGGTACTGATCTAAATACATAATGTTTGTTGTTGAACAAAAGTGTAATTTTACTGATTTTTACTAATCACTCTTTCTCAACCTCAATGTGATGTAATTATCTTGGCTTTGACAAGCTACAGGGTACTGATCTAAATACATAATGTTTGTTGTTTTCAATTGTATAAACCAATGTGGCTTCCAGTTCAGTGGAGTTTTATGTA